GCAGAGAGACAAAAGTCAGTGTTCTGGTTCTGCCAAAGGAACTTGGTATGAAAGGGCCAAGTACACACTGAGAAAGGAGACACAAACAACCCAATTAAAAAATGGGCAAAGGACCTGAATATACACTTATCCAAAGAGGACATACAGAGGGCCCAGAGACATATGAAAAGATGCTTAGCATCACTACCCATCAGAGAGATGCAAATTAAAACCACAATGAGATATCACCTCACACCTGTCAGAATGGCCATCATTAGGAAATCTATAAACAACAAGTGCTGGCAAGGTTGTAGAGAGAAGGGAACCCAGGTGCATTGTTGGTGGGAATGCAGACTGGTGCAGCCACTGTAGGAAACAGTATGGAATTTCCTCAAAAAATTAAATATGAAACTGCCTTTTGATCCAGCAGTTCTGTTGCTGGGTATATACCCTAAGAGTCCCAAAGATCCAATTCAAAAGAACTCATGCACCCCTATGTTCACGGCAGTGCTATCTACAATAGCCAAGTGCTGAAAACAACCTAAGTGCCCATCAGTAGATGAATGAATCAAAAAACTGTGGTTCATTTGCACAACAGAATACTATGCAGCAGAAAGAAAGAAGGAGCTCCTACCTTTTTGCAACAGCATGGATGGAACTGGAGAATATTATGCTGAGTGAAATAAACCACTTGGTGAAGGACAAATACCATGTTGATTTCACTTATAAGAGGAATCTAATGAACAAAATAAACTAATGAGCAAAATAGAACCAGAGACATGCAAACACGGAACAGACTGAAAGTGACCAAAGAGGAGAGGAGAGGAGCATAATGGTGGAAAGAAGGGGAAGGGGCTCGTTACAGAACATATATGAATGACCAGTGGACATGGACAACAGAGTGGGGAATGACTGTGGGGGTGGGGGTTGGGCTGGGTGGAGGAGGGCAAAGCAGGAAAACTTGGGACAATTGTAATAAAATAACAATAAAAGTAAATTAATTAAAAAAGAAAGAAAGAAAGAAAGAAAGGAGACATAGACAAGCGGCCGAATCCAGAAGGATTTCCCCTAAGGCATTTGCCGCAAAGAGCAATAAGCAGAAATTTCTGCAAAATTCTTGCTAAAGTGAAAACATCAGCAGTCCTATTGTTCTCTAAAGAAAAATATTAGAATTTGGGATGGCCCAAAGAGGTGCAGAATGCAATAAACATCTCAGTTGCTCAGTTGGGTCCACCGAAGAACGGTACCCTCAGAAAGGAAACAAACTACAGGTAGGTGGACCCTTATAAACACAGCAGAATCAGCTCAAACTCTGATTGGATCAAGGTGATTGCACTCTATGTGCCTACCCTTCAGGGGAGAATTTGATACCACTACTGTCATCCAACAGCCTATAGCGTCTTCAAGTTCTGCCTCAGTGCCTCACCCAAGGCACACCTCTCCAGGACCGTAGCCAGTGACTGCCTGAGGTGGGATAGAAAGGCCTGCCCACCTTAACTAGAGGATACCTTCTGAGAAATACACGTTAGGCAACTCTGTCCCTGTGTGAACATCACAGAGTGCACTTACACAAACCTGCATAGCACGGCCTCCTACACACCTGGGCTGCATGACACACTCTATCGTCCCCAGGCTACCGCTTGCACATCATGCTACTGTACAAAACAACACAAGGTTAAATCAAGAACAAGAGACGGGGATGCAATCAAGAGGCACGATATCCGCAAGATGCAGGAGGCTGCTGCCACTGTAACCTGGCGTTCGGTTTTACAAGAGACATTTTTCACAAGTAGAGCACATTCTGAAATATGATTAAAATTATAGTTTAATTTAATGCATAAAGCAGTAACACATAGTCATGTATTATCTTACCAAGTATTATGTGTCGTACATAATTATATGTGCTATTCTTTTTTTTTTTATCTCTAGAGGGGAAGGGAAGGAGAGAGGGAGAGAAATATCTGTATGGTTGCCTCTTGTGCGTCCCCCACTGGGAACTGAACTGCAACCCAGGCATGTGCCCTGACTGGGAATCGAACCCCAATCCTTTGGTTTGCAGGCTCGCGCTCAATCCACTGAGCTACACCAGCCAGGATATGCTATTCTTTTATACAACAGGAAATGCAGTAGGTTTATTTACACCAGCATCACCACAAACACGAGCAATGCACTGTGCTATGAAGTTTTGACAGCTGCAATGTCACTAAGTGATAGGAATTTTTCACCTCCAGTATAACCTTTTGGGACCATTGTTGTACATGGGGTTGATTATTGGCCAAAACATCATTGTGCAGTATAACACTGTAAACACCGGGCTATCTTGGCCCAACATGGAGCAACTCTCCACAGAGCTCCCCATGGATTGAGCTAGGCTTTAATGGGCCTGGATCTTATTTCAACACCTTCCTCTGCCAAGTCCTGCTTTCTCTCCCTTTCCTTTACCCAAAATGCTGATACCTAATAAATGCCCCGTGCAACCAACTTCATGTGAGTGACTGCTTCTGGAAACCCAGCAGGTGACAACTGCAGGGATGGGCCAACAGAGTAGGTGATAAGATGGGGTTCTTGATCTGGATCACTCACAGCTGGGATGGCGGTGAAGGGAACCTCACTGACGTTTACGTGGAGAGAGACATTCCCTGGCATAAGGGGTGGTCCAGTTTTTAAAACCCTCATTGGGGGTGAATTGGAATAGTATATGTACAGAAAGAAATACACTAAATGGGGTTACTAATCAAGGGTTTGAGATGTACAGAAAAAAAGGAACTATAAGAACAATAGATTGGATGGCTTACCGCTAAGAATCAATGTCCTAGAAAGAGATAACTCAAAACTACAGGCAACTATAACTCATGTGTGAAAGCTGAAGGGCCTCTCTAGTAACTTAGAAAGAGGTTCTTCCACACAGAACAGTGGGATCTAAAAAGCTGAGGACCAGAGAGGATAAAAAATGCAGAGCCACTAACATTAAGACTTTCTATTCCATCATAGGCACTAGTAAGAGGGAGAAAAGGCAAGTCACGGAATGGGAAATCTTCACAATACATGTATCCCACGGATTGTATATTCAGAACACATAAAGAACTCTTAAGTTGAGAAAATAGACAGACTACCCAATCAAAAAATGGGCAAAATATTTCAACAGACACTTTGCAAAAAGGATATTCAAATACAAAAAATTTTTTAAATCAATCAATTTAATCGGGAAAAACAACTTAAAACCACAAAGTGTTGGCTGGTATATCGGTTAGAGCATCATCTTGATACACCAAGGTGGTACGTTCAATCCCCAGTCAGGACTCATATGAGAATCAACCAATGAATGCATAAATAAGTGGAATAACAAACCAATGTTTCTCCCTCTCCCTTCTTTCCCTCCCTTCCTCCCTCCCTTCCTCCCTCTCTCTCTCCTTTCTTTTCTCTCTCCAAAAATCAATAAGTAATAAAACCAAACTCATGGATATAAATCTAATAATTATATATCATTTCTACATAGAAAATCATGAAATGTGTTTGAGAAAAAATGAAGATTTTAATAAGGAAAGACATATTCTGCACTTATGAACTAGAACACTCAGCACTTTAAAGATGTTATGTCTCCACTAATTGACTTATAGATTTTGTGCTGTTTCAACGAAAATCTCAGGAAGTTTTTCAGTATGTGTGTAAATTGACAAGTAAATTACAAAATACATGTGGAATTACAAAGGGATATTTGTAATTGAAAACAACAAAGTGGGGGGACTTGCTATTTCTAGATATTAAAAAGAAAACCTCAAAGAGACACCACAGTGCTACTGTCAGAACTGCCAACAGGAAAAAGGCAAAGGAGACCAAGTGCTGGGGAGGGTTTGGAGCCCCTGCCATCATCACACACAGCTCATCAGAGGATAAATTGGTACAACCACTCTAAAAACTCCTTTGCTGAACAAATACATAACCGTGCTCAATCAAAAATGGGTCAAAATCACCATAGCATCACTATTCATAATAGCTGGAAACAACTCAAATATCCATCAACAAGAAAAATTCATTGTGGTATATTCTTATATAAGAATACTATACGATAATGAGAACAAATAAACCACAAGAAGATGAGAACATAATGGATCTCTTAAAATGATGGTGAGCAAAGATAGCTGGATACAAAAGGAGTACATACAGTATGATTCCACTGATATCGAGTTCAAAAGTAGGCAAAACTACCTAAGGTGCCAGAGACAGAAAGAGGTAATTTGGGGAGGGCGAGATGCCTGGGAAGGGGCTTGAGGGAGTTTCTGGGATGCTGTTAATATTCTGCATTGGGATGCTGATTACATGAGTCTGGGCAATTTGTTAAATTTTTTGTACTGTACACATTACTTGTATGCATCTTTGTATGAATAATATATTGGATTGGCCAAAAGGTTAATTTGTTTTTTTTCCAAAAGATGGCTCTACTCGTGCTTAGTTGTCTATAACTTCATTTGAAGCGATTTTGTTAGAGTACATTGTGACAGCTGTCATATCAGCATGCATTTAAAAAAATCTAAATTCGTGAATTTTTGTGTCGCCATTTTAATATTGAATATGGAAGAAACTACAAAACATTTTTGGCATATCACGTCTTATTATTTCAAGAAAGGTAAAAACACAACTGAAACGCACACACAAAAAGATTTGTGCAGTGTATGGAGAAAGTGCTGTGACTGATCCAACATGTCAAAAGTGGTTTGCAAAGTTTCATGCCACAGATTCTTCACTGGACGATGCTCCATGCTCGGGTAGACCAGTAGAAGTTGATAGTGATCAAATTGAGACATTAATTTCTATTCCATCATAGGCACTAGTAAGAGGGCCTTATAAACATTATACCACATGGGAGATAAGCAACATACTCAAAATATCCAGATCAATAAAGTTATTGGTGAAAATGAAAAATGTGTCTTTTATTTTATAGAAAAAATTAACAGGACTTTTTTGGCCAACCCAATACTTCAATTAAAACACTTTCACAAACTGAGCGAAACACAGACACCTACATTGCTTTCCTTTTTCCTCCTCCGGTGAGAAGCAACTCCTGCCGGCGGTGCTGCTTTCATTGTGGTTTGGAAACTGGGAGCAGTTGAGGAAGGTGGGCCAGGAGGCGTTCACCATCCCCAGCACCGGCTCACAGCCCTGTTTCGCTGCCTCACAGAACGACCAGCAGGGCAGGGGTCCGTGACTAGAAGAAAAGAGAAAGGTGACAATTACTATTTTTACAGACTACTTTTTTTTCAGGTATATTTTTATTATGTTGGCAACAAACAATTAGAAAAGAAAATTAAGAAAACGGTATCATTTGCCATAACATCCAAAGGCATTAAAGGTTGCAGAGGATACAGCTCAAAAAGCACGTGACCCTTCTTCACAGAAAAGTACAAAATAGAAAAGAAATTGGTGACAGAAGTTAAGAAAGACTTAAATCATCAGAGGGCTACACCAGGTCTGGAACCGGAAGAGCATTATGCAAATGCAAACTGTCCCCTACATTTATCCACAGGTCGAACTCAAGCTCTGTCAACAACCCGGCACTATTGTTCTGTGGAGACTGAGCAAACTCCTCCTAAAATTTGTATGGAAATGCCAAGAGTCCAGAGTAGCCAGGAAACCTGCAAGAGGTGGAGCCCGCGGAGTTCCCCGCCCCCGCCCCCACCATGATAATACCCTGGAGGGACCCCCGCCTGACCCAGTGCCTCGTGGTGGGGATTTACTCTGGTGATGGGACTGTGGGAAAGCAGTGTGAACAGACGGGGGCAGGGAGCACGGGCACATGCCCCCTGCCTCCCTGCGGAGCGTCATCGAGGGCGCTCCTCTCCAGCTGGATCCAGAGACACGCTGAGATGTTCCCTGCGGGGGCGCCTGGAGTCTCGGGCCCCTGTGGTCTGACCCCAGCCCCAGTGCCTAGCACACACTCCTAAACCCCTGGAAGGCAGGCTGAGCAGGTTGCAGACTACTCTTTGAAAAAATGATGTAACTGAAGTTGGCCACCAGGGCTGCAATATTATCTTAATTTACAGTTACTATGTCAACAACTAAAATTTCTACATTCAGTCCTGTAACAGGAGGGTCAGGCACCTTAACGCCATGGTTCCAGAAGGAACTTAGTTCTATAACATAACATCTATCTACTGTAAAAGCGTTGACTACCCCAATATTTTTTTTTTAGATTTCCCATACTAAAGTAAATCTGGCCATCATAAAATAGCTCTACTTGATATCAACAGGAGTAAATTAACATGAAAATAAAGGCCCCCAAATTGGAAAGGCAGAAGTAGGTCACAAAATAGGTTAATCTCATTTCTTTTTCTTCCCTTTGAGAATTTCAAAGTATCTCTGAGAGGCAGACAGGGAGAAAGTTGTTCTTTAACTTCCACTGCCTCCCTGGAATAGAAACATGAAAACAAGGGGCAACTCAGTTCTCAATATTTACGTGGAGAGCGGGAGCTGAAGCCATATTTAGAGCATGCGCAGTAGAGCAATGATGCAGGAGGGCGACGCTGTGGAGCGCTTTCTCTCCTGTGGTAGAATGTGCAGGGCGTCTCTCAGTGGCTCGCTCTCTGGATGTGTGGTCCATGGTCTGATGTCTTCTGCTTTCACGCTTCTTTTGGTTGCAAAGTCATGTTGATGTCGCACAATTTCTTGTAAACATGTTTTTCTTCATTTGGATACACACATGTTGTTTTCCTCAGTCCGGATAGGTACACGTTGTATCCATCAGCTCTGATAGGCACATGTTTATGTCAGTTCTGATAGGAACATTTTGTTTTGTGCAACCTCAATAGGTACATGTGGTTTATGTCGCTCTACTGTGCATGCTCTGAGAGGGTGGTGTTGCCCTTCAGCTATGCAGGTCTTGTCCGCCAGGCTGTATTGTGCGTGCCGTGGGGCTAAATCGATCCCCACCCCCACCCCCGAGTCATTGCTCTACTGTGCATGCTTTAAACAAGGCTTCAAATCCTGCTCTCCACATTCATCTACAGTTACAAACAGTGTGTTTATCTACAGTTTATAAACAGGTATTATCTTTTCAGATTTCTATTTTATCTTCTGCAAAATAGAGAAATACAAAAACTGTCTAGAGCTCATCTTTATTCACCTGACCTGCAATTCAAACACTCCTGGTTCCACAGCTCTGTGTCTGGGGACTATGATGCTACAATGTCAAAGCCATGGGCTTGTTCTCTTACAGACCCAGGTGGCTTTTTCTGCTTTGCAGCTAGAGACTGCATCTCTCTCCCTGACTGGTGAACAAGCTGGCAAAGGCATTTCATATGGTTTTAAGAAAACTGGGAAAGAAAATATACAAAGCAAAGCACACACTCCACAAATGTAGGGGACTGAATTTCAGAGCCACACAACAATAGACCTGTAAGAAATCTTACACAACACCTCACTCAAATCCTTCATTGGAGACAGGGTCTGATTCTGGGTTTGACTGAAAGTCACACAGCTCTTTATCTGCAGAAGTGGGAGGAGAATCCATTTGTTTTGGCTTTTAGTCTATACTCTATCTACTCTCCTATACTGTCTATTCTCATATAAGGACCTAATAATTGGGCTTTAGAAGTTCCATGATCAAACAAGCACATTCGCAATATCCCAGTCATACTTCTGTGAATTACAGAAACATAATAACATGCACAAGCCACTGAGTTCAAATAAAACTGATAGAGTCTTGTGGAAGAATTTTGGGAGAGAGATCTTATTATATATAAAAACATGGGAAAGGGCTACTCAGCAGTTACATTTAGATACAAATGCTTTTGACCTTCCTCTCAGAAGCTTGTGTTAAAGCTGAGCATCTTTTATTAGTCCTGATATTCACATAGTTATCTACCTATGTTAATATGTAATTAAATCTGTTAGTGAAGATATGGAAGGAGAAGTTTTGCATTTGAAAGATTAGGTTTCAGGCATAAAATATGAACCAGTCCAGACAAGTATCTTGGTGTAAAGAGAACAACCAACTACCATTAAAAAACATATTAGATATTTACAGGACTACGAAATTACCACTTAAATAACATTCTCTATCTTATTCCAGAGAATTTAGAGACTATATTTTCTCAAATAAAACCTTGGTACATGGTTGAGGAAGGTGGAGAACATAGAATTCCTTCGCAATAGCTTATACTTTGCTAGACTCTGTTCTGAGTGCTTCGTGTGCATTAACCCATTCACTTCTCACTACAGCCCTGGTTGTAAGTACTAGCACTATCATCCCTAATACCCGAATAAGGAAACTGAAGTACATGAAAAATAAAAGACCTATCCAAGGTCACTGAGGGAGTGAGTGTCAGAGCCAGGGTTCAAACCCAGGCAGACTGACCCAAGAACCCTTTCTATTAACTACCCTCTTACATGTCAGTCCTCACTTTAGGAAGGTTGTTCCAAAAGCCTAACTTCAGGGTAGTTAAGAACTCAACAGGTACTTTCCAAGGGGACCAACCATGTATACAGAGGTTGGGTTCTCCCTTCATTCTGCAAACTCCTAGTTAACCCGCAATGATCAGTATTGCCAAAGGGGTTAAAGAACACAACGGAAGGTTAAGTCATTTGTTTTTTTCCTTCCAGGTGTGGACAGCCCACAGGAAAGCTACCAGACAATCCAGGGTTGGCTTTGGCATGCTTTCTCTGCCCTGGGGTCCCCGACCAGGGTCCCAGTCTCTGATACTGTCCTGACCACCCCCACCCCAGCACCCTACCTAGACAGTCACTGCCACCAGAGCAGTGCTTGCTCTTAAACATTTTCTTCCTTTTCTACAGTCAAAACTACATTCCCCAAGTGAGCAGATCACAATTAGGCTTTCCAAGAAAAAAGATGAAAATAACAGAGTAATTTATAATTATAGATGGACATTTCACCCTCCCAAAAGGGTTGGCATCATTAGAAAATTTCTGGAGCAAAGGAATCTCTGATTAATGGACTTTCAGATGCTGCTTACGGGGGAAAGAGTCCAGCCAACATCGTGGGGTGGGGAAGATCACTGTGAAGCTAACAGTTGAGGTCCAAGTCTCCCCAGTGGTTCCTGGACATTTCCTCACTTTTGAACCCACATATTTTGGGGATTACTCCACATTTTCCCCAGAATTTTCTACAGAAAGGGCGATGAAGTTTCACGTGGGGACCCAGAAGACTGTTTTCATGTTCTAAAGCTGAGTCTTAACTCAGAAGCTGACATTCTCATCAACCTTTCCTATGGTCATTTTCTGCAGGAAAAGGTAAGTCCGCCACCCTAAAACTTTCACGGGGCCACTCCTCACTGTGTGATCTTGTGCCAACAGTTCACTCACACCAAGACTCCATTTCCTCCTTTGAAAAGTGAGGGTTTGGAAGTGCTGAGTGTATATGGCCCTTTTACCACTAACATTTTGTAAATCAAAATATATTCTTTAACACAGTGCTTCTCAGAGTAACAGTGATAATCCCACCAGCTTTTCTAAATTTCAGAAGGTAACAGACATTTTTTTCTCAAGATTTGTTCTGGGAATATACAGAGACATTAAAATACCATTAGGCCTTTCATTCTAAAAATAGGTTCTAAGAAAAATGTCTAGAGTGTTTCTAAATAGCTCTCTTAAGAGGTGTAACCAACAGAGACCCATAAGCTTTAAATGGCTGGACGTGGACATGTGAAATAGTGAGAGAGTATTAATAACCAGCAGCCCTCTCAAAACAGTGAGCCAAATGAGAAGCCATTTGTTCTTGCTTTGCATGAAATTCAGCAGCACTGCCTGTGAGGGGTGGAAGCATAGTGCTTTCATCGCATGGAGCAGTGTGGTGACAAAGACCACACTACTTTGGAATGCAAGTGTCTCTATCCGAGCGACCAGCAGACTGACGTCTGAAGACAGTGCTGAGCACAGGGCAGGCGTCAGATCTGGCACTCAGAAGGCTATTTCGGAAACAGTAATCATTTTCAATGGGTGTGTGAAGGGCACTGGGTGTTGTGTAAAAGTCCCTGACACGCTTCAACTAAAGTTTAAGCAGAAAATAAATACACAAGTAATCATGCTACATAGTGACAGTGAGCTTCTTATTGTATTTCCACTAAGAAGGATGTTCTCAAATGATTTATCGGCAATAAACTTGAAGGTTTTTGCCTACACATTTTAAAGCAAATTTATCTAACAAATTTTTTTTAATTTACCCCCCAAAATTAAATTTTTTCATTATTGTGC